CTCTCTCTCTCTCTCTCTCTCTCTCTCTCTCACACACACACACACACACACACACACCAATCCCAACGCCCTACCGGGCGAAGACAAACCCGGAAAACGGCCCGCTGTGACCACGTATGCGGGCCCTAAATTTGAGTACGCATGCGGCACGTATGCGGAGCCCGCGTACGTGTACGCCGTGCTGCCCAGGAATAGGGCTTTCAGGCACTCGTCCACCTATAGCACGTATTGTTGTCCTCCTCATTGCGTTGTGGGCATTGCTGTCCGCCGCCACAAATTATGTGTATTGCAATGCTGCACGAGATTGTTTTTGGAAAAGCTAACTCAGGACAATAATTAATCAGTCAAGGATCTATGTATGTAATGAATCTGGACTCCAAATATGTCCTGGATGCATGCAACTGGATCTGCGTGTTCTGAATTGCAACCATGCTGGTTGGAAGAGGTCCGGCAAAAGATGTGCAAGGGGCGCAGGAATCCGCAGAGGGAATGGCAGTGGCAAATAAGGAGCAGGTTGAGAAGCATATGAATTTCCATTGATAGCTGCACAGAGCATGGTGTATAATTTGCGTGAAGCTTCTAAGAGGAGTGGCTGGAAAGCAGAAGGAATGGGGTGATGAACAATGTGTCATCATGTCAATCCATCAAGAATGTGTCATCGTGTCAATCCATCAAGAATGTGTCAGGTCAATCCATCAACAATGTGTCACGTCAATCCATTAACAACGACATGACTTGTGGACATGGACAGTCAGGGCTTAAATTTCTTAGGAGAGGACTTGTGAAGGTGGTGGTGAGGTAGCAGAAGAAGCTTTCAGAGGAGGAACGAGTCAAAGTCTGTTGTTGTCTGTCTCAACAGGAGGAAGCGAGATGATTCTCAGATGGGATGGATGGTATGTGTAAAAGTGGGGACCCAGGGCTTGCTCTCAGCCATATCTGCCATGCTGTGGGTGGGTGATTTGATGTATTCTTCATGTTTACGGCTTGCTACTGTGTAATGGATCGGGGTGTGTTGCTAGGCAGAACAGTTTTTTGCAAAACGCATCGAAAAATTTGAGATGAAAGGCTGTCATCGGTCACTCATACTCTCTCTGATCTTTTGCATTTGCAGGTATGGTTCCGTTCCAGTTATTAATGGCCTGACAGACTACAATCATCCTTGCCAGGTGCACTATTTTTTTCATTCCTAAGACCATCTCTCTTATGACCATCTCTCTATACCTTCACACTGTATCACAGCATAGGAGACACTTGATTCGGATGGCAGGAGGCAGAGACGGTGCTGAATGTGGATATGCCTCGGAGGGGAAAGGAATGAAGGAAGTAGAGGAGGGGTGTAAGCTGTCAAATATTTGCTGGGGAGTGTTCACCTCCAAGGGGTTGAAAACTTTATGTTTCCAACGTTTTGCCTGTGCTCGTAAAATATTAAATTTTGTCATGTACTCACAACGAGGAACCATTTTAGTTATTGCAGATTTTCCCGGTGTCATTGTACGATCTGTACGATCTGCGTGCAGGCACAATAAAGAGGACGGGCCTTGCCGCACCACTCACCAGATGTGCAAAATGAGAATGAACTGTTCCCCAGAACAAGGAACGAACGATGCACCGACACAACTTTTTGTCTTTTGTGCATTTGGTGAGTGGTGCGGTGAGGCCCGATATGACACAACTGGCCAAACTTGGAGGAGGAAGCATTGCCCGCTTCCAACGATTCCTTGTTCGCCTGATTCCACTTGGCAGAATATGACACTTGTCGCCAAACTTAGAGGAGGAAGCATCTTGTGCTTCTACCGGGTCGAGCTGCCACGGTGGCTGAGAGTTGGCAATGATTTGTGTCGTGTTCCGTGGGTTGGTCATGGTAATCTGTTCCTAGTTTTATCACCAGCACAACTAGAACTGCAGTGGACCTTGAATAGTCATAGAAAGCGTCAGAGATGCGCAATTCCACAATCAGTGGACATGAATCACGAGTCCCAAGCCCCATTTCCCCTACCTACCTCTTCCAACCTTCTGTAACATTAATGGTCTGGCAGGACACAGGGTGATGCTCCCGGCTATCTTAATGACCCTTCCATTGACGCAAGCTCCATGCATTGATGCAGAGAAGGTTGGGATCGGTGTACTGACAAACCCAAGAAAACTGCGTAGCACGCAAATGCCAGTCGGATGTTCTGGCTGGAATATCCGGCACTCTGTTCATCTGGAGAACCGGATGAACATGTGGCATGCCGATTTTTTTTTTCTCAATTTGGGGTACCTCCACCAGGACTCGAAATGGGGGGGAAGGGTTTGCCCACTTCGAGTTTTGTGTGATTGGTTGGATGGGATGGGATGGGATGGGATGGAATGGGATGGGATGGGATGGGTTTTTGATTGATTGGATTGGACTGGTTGGTTGGTTGGATGGATGGATGGAGGGGATGGTGGATGGATGGAGGGGATGGGTTATTGATTGATTGATTGTGTGGATTGGATTGGTTGATTGGTTGGTTGGAGGGGAAGGGGGGGAAGAGGGAGGGAGGTAAGGAGGGATGGGATGTATGGAACGGGATGGGCAAAGGGAGGAAGGGATGGGATGGGATGGACGGATGGATGGACGGGGAGAGGGAGGGAGGGAGGGGCGTGCAGGGAGGAAAGGAGGGATGAGATGGATGGGATGGGATGGACGAAGGGAGGGATGGGATGGGACAGATGGATGGATGGACGGGGAGAGGGAGGGAGGGATGAATGAATGGACGGATGGGAGGGGAGGGGAAGGGGGGGAGTGAGGGATGGGATGGACAAAGGGAGGGAGGGATGGGATGGGATGGGATGGGATAGATGGACGGGGAGAGGGAGGGATGGGCATGAACGAAGGGGAGAAGGGACGCAATGGGATGGGATGGATGCATGGATGGATGGGAGATGGAGGGAGGGAGGGAGGGAGGGAGGTGGAGGGAGGTGGATGGATTGATGGATGTCCTGTTGCCATCAAGAAAAAGTACATATACAACCAGTGTCTCCTAAGATAACTTCATCTGTGCTGTTTATTCCCTTTTTTTCATTGAAAAAAATTGGATGGACGGATGGAAGCAATTTTGATTGTTTGATTGATTGGATTGATTGTTTTGATTGATTGATTTATTGATTGATTGAGGCCGTTGCCGTGGTTGAGGTTAGGGGTGTCAAAGTCGGCGACGATTATGAAGTGCCACAGGAGGGTCATAGAGGCGAGAAGTGGGGAGAGGAGGTTCGGGAAGGGAGAGAGGTGTTGCAGAATTGTTGGGAGAAGGGTCAGAGATGGTGAGAGGTTGGGAAGGGTGAGAGGAGTGTCAGCAAGGGTGAGAGGAGGGTCGGGGGCGGTAAGAAGAGGTTCAGTGAGAGAGTGGAGTGTGGCGCGGGGCTGGGGGAACTTGTGCACCACTACATACAGAGGCACATAGAGAGAGAGAGAGAGAGAGAGAGAGAGAGAGAGAGAGAGAGAGAGAGAGAGAGAGAGAGAGNAGAGAGAGAGAGAGAGAGAGAGAGAGAGAGAGAGAGAGAGAGAGAGAGAGAGAGAGAGAGAGCAACACCCTGCAGGTGGGTTCCCGCTGCCCTGCGGGTCGATCATACTGGTGTACGGTAAATGTAAAATACAAAAGGCCCGATCTGGGCCGTCGATCACCACGATCGACGACCCAGATCGGGCCTTTTGTATTTTTGAAGTTTTCTGGCGTCTTGAACTGCAGAACTTTTTTTTTTTTCCCCTTGTGCTGCATTCTGATGGGGGTCAAGAGCCCCCCTAGGGATGCCCAGAAAAACGGGCCCTGCGCCTATTTTGCGCTGGGCCTGGATTTACCATTTCCAGGAATATCCGGCCAGATGAACCAGCCGTTCAGACCTGCGTGGATATCAGCGTGGGCTACGTAGTGAGGAACAACAAGAAGAGATGGAACCAAAAGAATCGATAAGAAGAGATGTATCCAAGAAATAACACGAAGCCATGAAACCCAAGAAACCAGGAAGTAGATACAATGAAAATCACAAAAACAGACGATAAAGGAAATTGCGACAGGAAGGGGACGACAACATGCGAAACAGGAGAAGGGGGGGGGGGGGAAAGCAACTGCCGCTGAAAAGGGCCTGATAGCAAACCCAAGAGGACCACAGGCTTGGCGGCTTTTGCAGTCCACTGTAGGGAGAATGGCATCCTGCTTAATAAAGGGAACCCAAAAAAAAAAAAAAAAGAGAAAAGGGATACTGTTATCCTGCTGGACCTGCAACCCAATTGTGTGAGGTCAACTTAAATGCGTAAGCCACTGTAAGGACAAACACGGGTCTGCATTTCAACAGTTTAGGGAAGGGGTGTACCTGCAAGGCTGCAACCTGATTGTGCTTAAAGGGGGGTGTGGTTGGACAGCGAATGGAGCTGTGCAGGTTCATGCTTGCTGGGGTCATTCGTTTTTTGCAGAAGGGCGACGGCATTGAGATAGATCATGGAACTGAGCGGCCCTACGTTCTTCCCCGGAGTACAGCGTACGGTCATTATAGCTGACTGAAAGGAGCCTCAAACACAGCTGTAATGACCGTGCGTTGTATTCGGGAGAATACAGCTGTAATGACCGTACGTTGCATTCTGGGGAAGAAGGTAGGCGATTCCGAATTGTCATAACTTTACTTCCAGTGGAATTGGATCGCAGGTCTGCATTTCAACAGTTGAGGGGTGTGTACCATCTGAGGTAGGTAGGCCAGTTGGGGTTGTTCAATCTTCAAAGAGGACCATTACTGCACTTGTTCATCAAATAGCAGCAATGTACCAGACAGTGACAGACATATATTTTCTGATAGCGCTTGGCACGGCAGATCTCCCATTGGCAGTGCCTATTCTAAGGGCTTTGACGTTTCTTCTACAGCAAGGCACTGTGTGCCAATTATTTCAGTCTCTATTATGTCATGCTCTTCTCCCCTCTTGTTGTCTGAGTGGAGTTGCACTGTCCTTCAGCACATTATTATGGTGTTAACCGTTTTATTGGTGGGCACTGCAGATCTCCCATTGGCTTTGACGTTTCTTCTACAGCAAGTCACTGTGTATGCCAATCATTTCAGTCTCTCTTATGTCATGCTCTTCTTGCCTATTGTTGTCTGAGTGGAGTTGCACTGTCCTTGAGCACATGATTATGGTTTTCAGGAGGGGGGGTATATAAGAGCAACAACCGACAGGAGTGTAGTAGAATTGATGATGTCCTCTGTAAAGCCCGATGTGTGAGTTCTTGCATTCTCTTTCTTACGGCGTACACTACTCCCTTTTGTTTTGTGACTGTAGCTGATCTGCGTTTACGCTCATTATGGTGGATGAGGATCTAATGAGAGCCCACTCGCACCACTAGGAGGGCTCTTCCATTGTGACGATCCGTTCTACTGACCGTGACCAATCATCACCATGTGACCATGCCTGTTCTATTGACCCCTCACATCCCTTGGTATTTTTTTGCATAACGTCAAGTCACTGAATCCTTTGCTTGCATGTGTTGCCTGACAGATCATGGCTGATGCTTTGACAATCATGGAGCATTTGGGAGGAATTGAGGGAGTTAAGGTGAGTTCAATTCGTCCTCTTCTCCTCCTTTTCAGGCAGCCACTGGCCCCTTCTCTTGACCTCATTTCGTCCTGTGGCCCTTACTTCTTCACTTGCTCAGATCTCCATCTCTTCCCCACTACTACTGTTTTCACCCGAATACAGCGCGCAATCATTATTGGTGTATCGAGACTACAAAGTTGCCCCAAATAGAGCCATAATGATCGAACCTTGTATTCGGGTGAAGACTGTACCCTCCTTCCTTCCCCTTCTCATACCCCATCAACCCCTTCCTCCCCAACACACCCGCTTCCAGCCCTGCTCGCTGCTACCCCTTTTACCTCTCTGCCCTTGCTATCCTCTCCCTCGCTTCCCCACTACTACTCACCCTAGCTCACCCTCCTGCCGTCCGTCCCATACCCAGTTCTTCTCTGTCCTTAAGCAGGTTTGATGGCAAGGATCACTTGACTAAGGCCTTAGGTATGTGATCCAGTGTCCAGACCCCCCCCCCTTTTAATTTGGACCATTTTCTTGATTTATGCGTGTCATGCTTGCACAGGGACCATGCTAATCTTCTCTGTATCATTCCAATTTTAACGGATGTCCCGAGGGACACCAGACTTTTTTTTTTTTAATAAAAGGAAAGGACAAAAAAGGCGTGTCGTCCAGACTCTATGAGAACTAGATGGAAGGTAATTGAACTGAGCGCGTTTTGAGAACTTTCCCCATTGTGTCCTGTTTCTATTTCTGTGCTATGTTTTGCCTTCACTCTACCTCTAGCTGCACAGTCTGTTTACCTTTGTAAATCCCTGAGGGAAACCTGTCATGGAACCATATATGACCAAAAGCATCGATAGCCATGGTGTAGGTGCCTTGATGGGATCCACGAAAGCAATGCATGACCAAGGGAGGAAATGGAGTTCCCAGTGCTCGCATATGGTGATAATTTGGGAATTAACAGAACTCTGTGTGTACAAACATGATACCATGTATGCTGGTGAGTTAGGGATGAACAGAAACTGGGCATGATGAACATGACCCGAGTTGAAGATGGCATGGAACAGCACTACGGAGATGTACTGGCCATGGAACAGGCCTTAGCCGTTGGTTTGGATATCAAATGTCAAAAATGAAGGCCATATGTGATGGTATTCATAAACCCAAGTCCAGCCAACCTCAGGGATTGTAGTCATGAAAAGAGGGAAAAAGGGCAATGAGGATAAGAAAAGGTGTTGGGAGAGGTAGGGGGGGAGGGCAGCGAGGGGGAGAGAGAGAGAGAGAGAGAGAGAGAGAGAGAGAGAGAGAGAGAGAGAGAGAGAGAGAGAGAGAGAGAGAGAGAGAAGGAACGTAAACAAAAACCGAAGAAAGAAGGAAAAAGCGGAAGAAAGAAAGAAAGGAAACAGCCGCGCAACAGATGGCGATACACAGAGAGAGAGAGAGAGAGAGAGAGAGAGAGAGAGAGAGAGAGAGAGAGAGAGAGAGAGAGAGAGAGAGAGAGACTCACGCTAGTTTCGTTGTGTTCTGGAATTGTTGGTGATTGACGGCAGGTTGTCTACGTTGGAGATGGCAACAACATTGTGCATTCCTGGCTTAAACTAGCTGCTGTTGTGCCCTTCCACTTTGTGTGTGCATGCCCCAAGGGTAGGACTCTCTCTCTCTCTCTCTCTCTCTCTCTCTCTCTCTCTCTCTCTCTCTCTCTCTCTCTCTCTCTC